TTCTTCTGGCCCAGACTCAGAGATGGGGATGGATCTCTCATGCTCAACCTCCTTGTCCTGTTCCCTGGTGCCCTGTACCTTGGTGTGTGCGCCCAAGAGAAGCGAGCCTGCAGGTGGGCCTGATGCGCGCTGAGGACAGGGCGAGGCAAGAAAGGCCAGGGAGGCAATGAAGGAAGTGGTGATGGCGGGGCAGAGGCCAGGGAAGCCCTGCTAGAGATATTCCCTGAACGGCTGCAGGGCCGAGTAGAGCTGCCACCCAAGTCCTCAGCTATCCCAGAAGGCACCCCAGGCTGTAACTCTTGATAAGCGCTAAAAGGCTTGTCTTTCTCCATGGAGAGGCTGGTCAATGGAACTGCTGGGTTGGCAGCCCACTGGGGTTCCCATAGGACTCCAATACAGGACCAAAAAAGTGAAGACTTCACTGGACTTATTAGGAAAAATAAAATTTGTGTAGGATGACTTCAACGGTCAACTTAAAACTGGATGAATTATCTTCAAAAAAATTAAGCAAAGCAAAGCAGACAATTCATCAAGCACTTTAAGAGAAACAGAAAATGCAATCGCCATCCTGACTAAAGCTAAAAGCTGAACCTCAGAAAAGCCAGTAGACGTACACAAAACATTAGCAATGAAAGATGTTTGTGTAACTCTATGTGTTAGACATAAACCTGAAAGTAGTGAAAGCTCTCAAACATTGTGTTACCTTTGGGGTGATTGCATCTTAAGTTCATAAAATTTAGAAATAATGACCAGCAGATTTGAAACTCAGTATTAACCACCATCATAGGCAGTCCTATCTAGTTCCAGATTTCTCATCCGGCCCACCCCCACCCCCCATCCCCGGCTATACCAGCAAAAGAACAACAACTACAAAAAAAGGATGAAACAAAACAATTTAGAAGTTGTGAAATTTACATATTTTAAAATTTGAGTCTAGTTCCTAACTTACACAATCTTTAGAAACATTTTAGGATTAAAAATAAATGTATCCAATTCTCGTTATAAAAGTGAAAGCATAGCTTAAGGAGCCCTGAGTGGGGTGGAGGTCAGTGATCCACAGCTTTGTATCTAACACAGAGCCTGGCAGTTCAAACTCAGCCTACATCACACAATTGAAAAATATACCTACCTCATTTTACTAAAAAAGCAAGGTAATCTTATAACA